GGAAATAGTTTAGGGTCACTCACCTCCATGGCTCAGAAACCATCCATCATATATCATTGCCTTGCTCAAATCCGAGTCTTAGATCACAAACTCAATGCAAACAAATCCCTTCAAAGTTCGGACAACACTTCCCCTAAATTTCTTTACTTTTCCAGCCATCAAGGCTTCATTATTTCCTCAGCCAGTCCCAAAGGTACACACACAACAACAAGTTCATCTAATAGTCATTCAGCAAGTTCCAAGTAGTACTAGTACAAGTCAAACTAGGGAAAAGTCCGGAAATGAAAGTTAAGCTCAAAACCAGATAAACAGTTTTGACGTCCTTTTCCGGTAATGGCACCAAAGGTACTACGAGTATCGGATGAAGGTGCAAGATACACCGTTTCTAAGCTAAAAGACAGGGCTACAACATTGTAGAAGGTAACTCAGTCCAAATCCCAGCACAACTAAGTCATATATGCCAAATACCAAACCAGAACCGTAATTGCAGGTTTACAAATTATACTATGCTGTAATCAGTACAACTCAGTCTAAACAGGTCCAAATGCAGAAATTCCAAAGGCATATGGTAGCTAGGGCATCAAGCTACATTTCCTCAGAAGACCTCAACACCCAAATCCAAAACAATTCCAGTCAAAACAACCCATTTCAGACGCAGTTCTAACATCCTGATGAACCCAGAACAGCAATAGTAATTTCGGCTTATCTCATTCTACACTACTTCAATTAACCTGAAATTTTACAGGAACCCTTAAAACATCAATACCTACAACTTTCATGTTTTGAGCCAAGGCCAATTCGGTCTCTATCTATGACCTAAAAATTCGGACAGAATGAAGAACCAAGAACCCTAATTTTCCAGATTTCTTCCAAAACAGAAATTAATTGCAATCTTCCATTTTTTCCACCTCATAGAGGCCTTAAACATCATTTCCAATCATCATAGATAGCCACACAATCATGCTTATATTAAAACAGAAAATTCCCCAAAAATAATAAAACTTCATTATTTCAACCACAAATCAAGAATCAATCCATAAACTTGCATCTTATACAACCACTAAGCATGCTTTAAGCATCAATTAAAGGAGGAGGGTGGTTCTTCACAACTTACCTTTAAAACAAGAGAGAGAGAGCTATGGGTCACCTTAACTTTCCAAACAACTTCACACACCAACTCACAATCACTACTTGAAGAGGTTTTATGGAAGGAATTCAAGATTAAACGGTTAGTTTGTGAGATTGGACAAGATTGGAGCAAGAAACTTGGAAGCTTTTCTTTCTTTTCTTGTAAGAAGAGGTTCAGCCAAGCTTGAAGGAAAAATGGAAGATTTTTGGTCAATTTTGATATTAATTTGGTAAAGGCATGAATAGTGGTCAAATGGCAAGACTAACTCTTATGGTGACACTTGTCACCTTTAGGTTTAAAACTTATCTTTTTGTCTCTCCAATACAAATATCTTAACACTTTGTAAAATAATATCACTTAATACAAAATTCCAACAAGTTGTCAAAAATATATTGCGTTTACCGCACTTGCGGGTCCCACGTTCAAAATACGCTCTTAATTTCTCAAAAACTAACCGATACCAGAAAAATCATTTTAAAACTATCTTTGCTCATAAACTTTATCTAGGGAATTTTTCTAATAAAGAAAATGTAGAAAGGCGGGCAAGTAAATAAAATAAACCCTAGAAAATTAGAAAATTTCCGGGTTCTCAAACTCATTTTTTTCTTCGGGGCGTCACACAAGGAGTGCTGGACTATGATGAGCTTTGTCTCTTTCCAAATTGCAATTGCTTGAGGGGTTCAAAATCCCAAAATTTAACAAGTATGATGGCACCAGCAATCCCAAGACACACCTCCGATTGTTCGTCAACAAGTTGGGTAGGCCAACAGATGATGAAAATCTACCTTTAAGGCTATTCCCAGAAAGTCTGGAAGGCGACGCACTTGATTGGTATTCAAATTTGAAGTTTGATGAGATAAAGACTTGGTTGGACCTGTCCAATGCGTTTATAAGGCAATATGAATACAACTGTGAACTAGCACCGATACGGACCACACTAGAGGGGACGAAGAGGAAGCCATCTGAGGATCACAAAACCTATGCTAAGAGATGGAGCAAAATAGCTGCAAAGGTTGAGCCGCCAATGACTGAAGATGAAATCATTCGCACCTTTATTAAAGCACACGATCCCCCGTATTTTGAGGAAATCTTTCGCATGATTGGATGCTCATTTGCTGCTATTGTCAATAAGCTTGAAGAATATGATGATTGTGTGAAGGCTGGAAAGATTGTTAATGTGTCTGCCCTGAAAACTCAAGTGGAAGCTTTGCAAGGCCAAAGTAATAGTGGGAAGAAGCAACAACTCCAAAAGAAAGAGGGGGAAATCGCTTTTGTCTGGGATCGAAACCCTATCCCAAGATCCAGACCTCGACAATGCTCAAACCCTTACCATTACTATTCAAACTCTCATCCTGTTTATCACACCAATATCACTCATCCTCGACCTCGCCCAAATTACACCAACCCGCCTAGAGCCCCTTTTCAAATATCTCAACCTAACTTCCAACAAGTTCGACCCCGACCTCCCTACAATCAACAATTTTCTCCACCAAATAGACCCACCTATAATTACCCTCAACCCATTGAATCCCAAAATCAAAATCGTTATCGCACTTTTACTAATCTTGGCAGGCCTCTGGACCAATTGTATGAACAATTAAAAGCCGTTGGTAAAATCGGCGTAATTCCCCCTCCAGCTTACCCTCATGGCATCCCTGGCGGATACAACCCACAGTACACTTGCGCTTATCATTCGGAAGCACCTGGCCACTCAACCGCCGATTGCAAAGCACTTAAACACAAAGTCCAAGACATGATCGAGGCAGGGGAAATAGTGCTAAGGAAAAAGGGTGAAGAAGGGCCGAGCATAAGTACAAATCCTTTTCCTGAACACAAGGACACCTTTGAGGCATCCACCTCCAACGAAGAAATTTGAAAATCTTGAAGGAGCTTTGCACAATTGGATTGCCGAGTATTTTCCCTCTCGAAGGGAATTTCGATAAATCTGGGGATTGTCATTTGTTAAAATTCCTGAAAATCGTCACTGTTTGCTTTTGTGTAAATAGTTTTATCATGTTCAATCAAGTTTTGGCTAAAACAATTTTTACATTATCAAGTTCCTATGTTGTTTTTTGAATCTTTCAATAGCATGCATAGTCACATCTTTTCATTATTTTGTTAATACCATTTTGTTTATATTAATTGTTTATTGGTTTTAATTTCACTCTAAACTCTTTCAGATGGCCAAAACAAAAAAGTAAAATTATTTGACCGTTGGATGTCACTGTTCTGGAATCCGATGATGGCAATCTCGATATCACTCAAGACTTTGAGATTATGGAATCCGAAATTCAAAACGAGAGTGATAATGAGGAAGTATATGGTTCTTTTTTCAAAAGGTCTCGAACAATATGAAGAGAAATCCAAACCGAACCTAGAAGAGACAGAGATTGTTAACAATGGCACCGAGACTGAAGCCAAAGAAATAAAGATCAGTAGACGTTTGAATGAAAAACAGGAAAAGGGAAGCTGTGTTGCTTGCCGAGATTGAAGTCCCTTCATTGCGTACTTTAATGGAAGCTGTGAGAACCCGTAAATTTCTTTATTTTTAGGCCTTATTTGATTTATTTGCACGCTTTTTATGCATCTTCTTTATTAGAAAAATTTTCTAAATAATGTTATTGGGTAAATATAGTTTTTAGATGATTTTTCTAGTATCAAATAGTTTTTGAGAAATTAAGAGCGTATACCGGACGTGGGACCCACTAGTGCAAAAAGTTCAGAAAAATTCGGCCAACTAGGTTAAGTTTTGGATACTGAAATTAATTTACCGGGTGTTAAGAGATAAGTAGAGGATGCTAAGTGGATTGGTATGAGGGAGACAAAAGTTAGGCAAGCATTAAATGAGGTGACAAGTGTCACCATAGGATTGGTTCTTACATAAGACCACTATTCACCTTTTTCTATTTGACCAAATAAATCACAAAATTAACCAAAATTTCACCATTTTCTCTTCTCTAGTGGCCGGCTCTTACTCTCAAGAAAGAAAGAAAGAAAACTCTTCAAGTTGCTTCAATCTTTGCTCCAATCTTCTAAATCAACCATTGGATTTTGTTTTTGCTCCATAGAAACACTTAAGGAAGTGTTAGTGAGTTGATTTGTGGAGTTATTTGGAAAGCTAAGAGGACCTATTGCTCTCTCTCTCTCTTGTTTCTAAGGTGAGTTGTGAAGAACCACTTTCCTTCCTCTAATGATGCCTAATTTATGATTAGTGGTGGTATGTGATGAAACTTTATGGATTACATCTTGATTTGTGGTTGAATTAGTGAAGTTTTTTATTTATTGGTGATTTTCTGTTTTAATATGAACATGATTGTGTGGCTATCTATGATGATTGGAAATGATGTATAATGACTCTAGAAGGTGGAAAAAGTGGATAATTGCAACCAATTTCTGGTTTGGAAGAAATTGTAGAAAGTTAGGGTTTTCTTGGGAACATTCTGCCCGGTTTTGTAGCTCCTAGTTAGAGGCCGAATTGGCCTTGGATTAAAACATGAAAGTTGTAGGGAATGATATTTTAGAGGTGCCCAATAAAGAGGATTACACTTGCACCACTCACACCTAAGCAAGTGTATGAGGACCAAATGAAAATTCAGTAGGAATGTGAGAAAATTGATGAGCGCAAAAAAGTGAAAAAACATGAAAAAAAAGAGAGGAGAAGATCTGTGCAAAATGAGAGGGAAAAGGCAATAAATGAGACGGAGCATGAGTAAAATAAGAGGGAAAAATATCGTTCAGTGCAAAAGCCAAGGATGTGAGGAGAGGTTTTCTTGGAGGCCAAACCGTACTCTTGTTTTACACCAAGGAAGTTTCGAATGACACCAACATATTTGACACTTCATTGCCTAGTTCTTTTACTAAGCTTTTGCAGGATTATGAGGATGTTTTTCCAGATGATGTGCCGAGTGGATTGCCACCCGTAAGGGGAATTGAACACCAAACAGACCTCATACCTGGAGCACTCCTACCTAACCGACCTGCATATAGAAGCAACCTCGAGGAGACCAAGGAGATTCAAAGGCAAGTGGAAGAGCTTCTAGGCAAATGATGGGCAAGAGAGAGCTTAAGCCCCTGTGCTGTTCCAGTCATTCTAGTACCCAAGAAGGACGGGTCTTGGAGGATGTGCACGGATTGCCGAGCTATCAATACCATAATGGTAAAGTATCGCCATCCCATTCCTCGACTAGATGACATGTTAGATGAATTACATGGGGCAGTCATTTTCACGAAAATTGATCTGAAATCTGGGTATCATCAAATTAGGATTAAAGAAGGGGACGAGTGGAAAATTGCATTTAAGACTAAGTACGGGTTATATGAGTGGTTAGTCATGCCTTTTGGCCTTACTAATGCACCAAGTACCTTTATGCGATTAATGATTCATGTTTTAGGCAAATTTGTAGTAGTATATTTTGATGATATTCTCATTTATAGCACAAGTCTAGAAGAACATTTGTAGCATCTTAAGTTTGTGTTAGAAGTACTTCGAAAGGAACGCCTTTATGCTAATCTAAAGAAATGTACTTTTTGCACTAACCAACTAGCATTCCTAGGCTTTGTTGTAAGTTCACAGGGCATCAAGGTGGATGAGAGTAAAATCAAGGCCATCCAAGAATGGCCAAGGCCGACCACCATTGGGGAAGTAAGGAGCTTTCACGGACTTGCGAGCTTCTATCGGCACTTTGTACGCGACTTTAGCTCCATAGCAGCACCTTTGACATCCATCATTAAAAAGGTTGTATCGTTCCATTGGGGTGAAGAACAGGAAAAATCATTTGACTCTCTTAAACACACACTCACACACGCACCCGTATTGTCTCTTCCTGATTTCTCTAAGACTTTTGAGATTGAATGTGATGCATCAGGGATTGGCATAGGAGCAGTATTGATCCAAGGTGGATGACCAGTCGCCTACTTTAGTGATAAACTGAATGGGACGATGTAGAACTATAGCACCTATGACAAGGAGCTTTACGCCTTGATCCGAGCACTACAAGTGTGGCAACATTACCTTCGACCCAAGGAGTTTGTCATCCACACCGACCACGAGTCACTCAAGTTTCTCAAATCTCAAAACAAACTGAGTAAGAGGCATGTGCGATGGATCTCATTCATAGAGACTTTCCCGTATGTTATAAAATACAAAACTAGTAAGTTTAACATAGCCGCCAATTCACTCACGAAGGTACACACTTCTTGCTACTTTAGATGCTCAACTACTTAGTTTTGAGCTTATCAAAGATTTATACTCAACCGATGATGATTTCAAGTTAGTGTTTGAAGATGCAAGCAAACGGCCCAAGAGAAATTTTTCCTATTCGACGGATTCTGATACGCTCTTCAGTCAACTTGTTCCGAGACACGTAGCACGATTGCCCAAGGATCTAGATGGATGATCAATCATTTGGATTGTGGAACCTAGAATCAAGATGGATGACTCAAGTCGGTTAAAGACGATAGAACAACGACTCTAATTGAGGTGGTTACTCAAGTAGATAGGCTGGATGAACAACCAAGGACGTCACGCGAGATTACTCAATTAACTCTTGCCTAGCAACTAGAATGTAACTCTCGGCTTTGAAGAGAAACAAAGTCAATTTTATTGTCAATAATGTCTAACCCTTTACTCGTACAAGTTATGCCTTTTTATAGGCTAGCGAACCAACGAAAACCCTATTGGAGTAAGGATTGACACTTGCCTAAACTAGAAAGGAAATTCGGACCACTCTTGGACATAAGTGAGCCAAACCTTTGACTTCAATAAATAACAAGCTAACTAACTAATTAAGCCACGACTAACAATGACTCGATAACTCAAAACCAACTAACAACTCAAACAACTAATACTACTAACAATCTGACCAACACATTAAGGACACGCGTGGTCATCATTCAAAGCCTCATTGACTCGGATCAAGGTGTAGTTAAGTCGAGTAGCAACTTCCAGGCCTTCAATGTTCCTATGGACCCCTTGTTGGTCTTGAACATTTCGAACAAGGGCTTGAAGAGACTCTTTGAAGCGTTTGGTCCGTGCACGTGTAACTGGGTCCAGGAGAACTCTTACTTGATCATCATTTGGACTCAAATCCGTGCACACATCAGTCCCCTCCACTTGAGAAGGACTTGTCCTCAAATCTGGATCCTCCTCGTCAAGAAACGGGATCAAATCTGCGACATTGAAGGTCGCACTGACATTATACTCCCCAGGCAACTCCAATTTATAGGCATTGTTGTTGACACGTTGAAGCACTCGGAAAGGTCCATCGCCCCTTGGAGACAACTTGCTTTAGCATTGCTTAGGGAATCGTTCTTTCCTTAAGTGTAGCCAGACCCAATCTCCAGGTTCAAAAATCATCTTGCGACGATGCTTGTTAGCTTGCTAGATGTATTGCTAAGTACGCTTCTCAATGGTAGCTCGAATAGCTTCATGTAACCTGCGCACAAATTTAGCTTTCTTTTTCCCATCTAATCTTGTATGCTCAGAGGAAGGTAATGGTGCCAAGTCAATGGGGGTTAGTAGATTAAACTCGTAAACAATCTCAAATGGTGAGTAGTGTGTTGCACTGCGGACAGTTCTATTATAAGTAAATTCAATATGCGGCAAACACTCTTCCCAAGACTTGAGGTTTTTCTTAATTAACGCCCTTAACAACGTCCCAGGTGCGTGATTGACAACTTCAGTTTGTCCATCACTTTAGGGATGACTAGTGGTCGAAAATAAGAGTTTAGTGCCAAGTTTAGACCACAAAGTCTTCCAAAAGTAACTCAAGAACTTTACATCTCTATCACTAACAATTGTTTGAGGCATACCATGTAAACGCACAATTTCTTTAAAAAACAAGTTAACAATGTCAGATGCATCATCAGTCTTATGGCAAGGGATAAAATGAGCCATCTTTGAAAATCTATCAACTACCACATAGATGGAGTCATTACCCCATTGAGATCTAGGGAGTCCCAAAACAAAATCCATAGACAAGTCTACCTAAGGATATTTTGGAATAGGCAATGGGGTATATAAGCCATAAGGATTTGTTTTAAACTTAGCTTTATGGCAAGTGGCACATCTACCAACCATGCGTTCAACATCCCTACGCATGTGTAGCCAATGAAAGTGCTCTTGCAACATTGCTAAAGTTTTAACAATGCCAAAATGACCCATGAGACCACCACTATGTACCTCTCTAACCAGTAAGTCACGAATGGAAGAATTAGGCACACACAGCTTATCAACATAGAACAAGAATCCTTCATGCAAAAAAGTATTTTCCGTGGGGGTTCTTAGAACACGATGCAAATAGTTCTCCAAAATCAGTGTCATGTGTATAAAGCTCTTTTAGCATTTCAAAACCAAGTAATTTTGCATCAAGAAAAGCTAACAAAGAATGTGTCAATGAAATAAGAGAAGGTGTCAATGAAACTTACCCACTTGGCATGCCTTTTGCTCAATTTCGGCTGCCCCTTGAGAAATTTCAGTGATTCGTGGTCAGTGTGTATCACGAACTCCCTTGGACGGAGGTAATGTTGCCATGTTCCCAAGGCTCGCACAAGTGCATATAACTCTTTGTCATACGTGGGGTAATTCAATGCCGCCCCTCCCAGTTTCTCACTAAAGAATGCACAAGGTCTCTTGTCTTGCATCAACACAGCTCTAATCCCTACACCAGAAGCATCACATTCAATTTCAAAAGTCTTATTAAAGTTAGGTAATGTTAAAACAGGTGCGTGTGTGAGTTTGTCTTTGAGGGTAAGGAACGAATTTTCTTGTGCTTCTCCCCAGTGGAATTTGTCATTTTTCTTTGTTACTGCTGTCAATAGCGCAGCAATGGTGCTGAAGTCCTTGACAAAACGCCGGTAGAAGCCAACTAACCCGTGAAAGCTTCGCACATCTATGACTGACTTTGGCGTTGGCCATTGTTTGATAGCTTCGATCTTGGATTCGTCTATTTTGATGCCCTGTGAACTAACAACATAGTCTAGAAACACAAGTTCATTAGTACAAAAAGTGCACTTCTTAAGGTTAGCATAGAGGCTCGCCTTTCGAAGTGTGTCAAGTACTAATCTTAGATGCTCCATGTTTTCATTCATGTTTAAACTATAAATCAAGATATCATCAATATAAAGAATGACAAATTTTTCTATAAAATGCCTTAAAATATGGTTCATTAATCTCATAAAAGTGCTTGGCGCATTAGTCAACCCAAAAGGTATGACTAACCACTCATAAAGGCCATGTTTTGTTTTAAAAGCTATTTTCCACTCATCTCCCTCTTTCATCCTAATTTGATGATAGCCATTTCGTAAATCAATTTTTGTGAAAATAACAGCACCATCAAGTTCATCTAGCATATCATCTAATTTAGGAATGGGATGACGGTATTTAACAGTTATTGCATTTACAGCTCTACAATCAGTACACATACGCCAAGTACCATCCTTTTTTGGAACAAGTATAACAGGTACAGCACACGGACTCAAACGTTTCTTAACCCAACCCTACCTAGTAGGCTATCAACTTGCCTTTGGAGTTCCTTAGTTTCCTCCGGACCCATTCGGTAGGCGAGTTTGTTGGGTAATGGTGCTCCAGGAATCAGGTCTATTTGGTGCTCGATCCCTCGGATGGCTGGTAATCCATCAGGGATCTCATCAGAGAACATGTCCTCGAATTCCTGCAACAAAGCAACCACACTCGAAGGCAATGCCTTGTCGAGTTCATCAGCACTCAAAAGCACATGTTTGCATATCATAAGTAACACAGGCTGATCAGAATTCACGATTTTCCTAACATTCTTAGCCTTGATTATCATGTTTTGCTTCTTAGTGTTTGACATAATCAATGCTTGATCATTTGTAACACTAGGAACAACACAATGGCTCTTGGCTGTTCAAGGGATGATTTGGAACAATTTCCAGATTCGATCCCCTTGAGTTTTCTCTTTTGACGGTCTAGATCACATCCCATTTGCAATTTAAACTGGTCCTCATATACTTGTGCGGGTGTGAGAGGTGTCAGGACCATGCGTTTACTATTGTACAATAGAGTGTACT